AAAATTGTCGAAGACATGACCGCCTTCAATAGCGTATCCTCTAAGCTCTGAATCTTCCTTTGTCACCACAAAGCACCTTCCACTAAACTACAAATCATCACCTTTCTTCATGAAGCTTCTTCCATGAGTTAGTCTACGAACATCTTCGTCTTCAGAGTCAGTTGACCACACTTTGACCCAGCCAAACTCATCATCATTTTCCTGCACGATTAAAGCAGGTTTAGCTTCATCAAACTTTTTTTTTCTTGATTTCCTCAGCTTCCTGAGGAAATACGCCTCATCATCTTCTTCTTCTTTCTTCTCATTCATCCTTTGTAGGATGCACTCCTTTTCCAGATGATTTTTTCCATGATAGTAGTTACAATCATAGCCGGAGTCACCTACGAGCTTCTTCTCTTTCTTCAATTCTTCCTTTTGATAGTTATTCGCACTCTCATCTTTCACCTTCTCAGAACTATAACTCCCCTACCAATTTTGGTTTTTGTTGCGACCGAAAATTTTCTTTGCGAACCTCCTTGGATTGGACACCATTAAAGCATAATGTTCTTTACATAGTTCACAATCGGAGAGATCAGAATCCGAACCATCATCAGCAACCTTCTTTCACAAGCGCCAATGAACCCATTCCTGCAACAACCTTTTCCTTTACTAGTCACCTCATCTTCATGTGACCTCAGAATACCAATGAGATTAGCCAATGAGTAGTTTTTGAACTGCTCGTATTCTTTCACTGTTGACACCACAACTTTCCATTCGGACCTCAACCCGTTCCTAAAAGTCACCTTCTGCTCAATTAGTTCTCGCTTGATCTTGTGCTTCACCATCCTGCTCAAAATATGGTTGTAGCGGTTAAATGTTTGGTCAAGCTTCTCCTCAGGCTTCTGAACAAGGCTCCAAACTCTAAAGTAACAACGTTTGGATTGAGTGTTCAAGATCAGTATCGCTTGATTACAGTTCCCTAAGCCTATCTCATATCTCTTTCGCTGTTTCGCAGGAACTTACCAAGCGAAACATGTTTGCTGGTAAAGCAAAGCGAATAATCCTCGTCGCCTTGACGTTGTTGAGAAGCTTGTCCCTTTCATCTGTAGGAACATCATTGACTTCAGAAGAAGATCGTTGTACTCTGCTTGAGTCTTGATAACTCTTTTGTACCTGTGTGAGCAAATATCTCTTTGGTTATTGCATCCCATATCAAGGAACCGTTATCTTCCAGACCTAGCACATAATCTTCAAAGTTCATTGCCCACGCTTAATTGTCGTTTGGAAACAGAATGGGGGTCCTTGTGGTAGATCCAATATGCTGGAAAGATTGATTGAACTAATGTGAGAATCATCAGATTGCATGTTGTTGATTTGATGAAAACCAATATGAACCAGATGTGTAAACCTAAAATCGAGTTTAGGGTAAAATAAAGATCAAGATTTAACGTATGTAATCAATGAAATTGAAGAAGATGGCAATCCCAGATCCTATTATAGCAGAAACGCTAATAGCTCTTTGACAGAAGAGATGCGTATGGATTACACAACCTCCTGCTCTGATACCAATTATGAGATTAAACTCTAATGATCAATAGATTCAAACGGGTAAACAAATTAAGAAGAAGAATGAATATCAAATGTGTCGTATGATTCAATATCGTAGCCTTAGAAGAGCTCAATTAAGAACTGCTACTGTAAGGTGTGTAGGGTCTACAATGCAATTGGACGATTACAAAAACTAGTGCATGCATGCACCTTAAATAGTTAAACCTTAATAAATAAATAACGGGTGGATAGGCCCAACCCGAATACATAAAAGATTATACAAAAAGGCCCACAATGATGCAACTCAATAAGCTCAAACGTATGTTTGTGTGTGTATGTGTGTGTGCGTGAGAGAGAGAGAGAGATCATATTCAAAGAGGATAGTGGGAGTGCTATTGATCTTGAAGAAATTTAAGAGTCATCTAATGAAGGAGCCTTTGACAACTAGCACCCAACCTAAGGAAGAAATTCTAGTCGAACCGTTTGACAACTCATTACACCTTTGTCGATCCAGAAGGGTTAGCATTCTACCTGAGTTCTATAATGTCCATATAACTACAGATGGTGATACGTTCGCTAGTGATCGTACACTGGTAAATTTGGATGAACCTGTTAACCACAAGGAAGCAATTGCAGGCCTGTAGGTTGCTAAATGGAAGGAAGAAATGGAGAGTGAGATTCAGACCATGTATGATAACCAAGTATGGAACTTGGTTGATCATGTACATGGTCGAAAGACAGTCAGATGCAAATGGATCTTCAAGAAGAAGACCGGAATGGATGGGAAATACACACTTTCAAATCTAGGTTGGTAGCAAAGGGATTTAATCAAACCAAGGGATTGACTATGATGAGACCTTTTCACCGATAGGTAAGATACAGTCTATCATAATTAAGAATAACTGAATTTAAAAACGCATTTTCTCTCTCTACTATTCTCTCCGTTCAACGGTGTGTTTTTGGCTTGATTTCGTCATTGATTCTTCACCGGTGAGCTATTCCGTCTCAGTGTTGAAGAAATTTCTCTTCCATTTATCTTGTTGTGATGGGTGCTTCTTCCAAACAGGATTGTCTGAAGGATGTTAAGGTGAAGCCTCCGGATCGGAGTGCTGCGATACGTTATGTTAAAACGAAAGTTGATGTGAATGAAATGGTGCCTCTTGGGGTTATAGAGCAGTCCTCAACTACAATATTTCATGCTAGACGCAAGCCAAATGCTACAGGAGCTTTTGCTACATGGATTGGGAAAGTTGAGTGGAAGATGGAGGGAAAGGCGTTCAGAGTGAAGAATCGAGCTAGGAAAAATTTGTATCGTAGTTCTCCTATGGATGTTGAAGGATATTATGATAATGATTACACGAATGAAGAAATTGAGGTTGATTCTGGAAGTGAAGGGGTATGGGAATCGGATTCGAGTATTCAAACGAGATCTGAAATTAATCCGATTAAGATGGGGAGTGCTGGTACTGTACAAGTAATTGAAGGTAAGAGGAATGCTGAGATTCCGAATCTTCTTATTTCATCAGGTAACATTGCTCTTCTGACTAAAAATTGGGATGGATCTAAGATAGATGATGAGATGTTAAGCCCTAATGTTGATATTAAGCATATTATGAGTCAAATGAAGTCTGTTAATCCTTCGATTACTGTTAGTGATGAACGGAACATTAGTATGCAGGGTAGTGGTGATTCTCGTGGTGAGACTTCTAGTGGTAATACAATGAAAAGTGATAATGATAAAGGGGAATTGAAGAATAAGGTGAAAAATGGTGTTGGTAATGAGGATTTTATTCCAGGAGTTGGATTCACTTTTCTAAGGGATGTTAACCAAAATAATATGGAATTGGATGATAAGAGTAATGCAAGTACAGTTGGTATGGGTAATGAGGGAAATCCCAATGTGAATGTGAATTTGTTTTGGGATGAGGAAGGTAATTTGATTAATACTAAGGAAGGAGTTTCAGAAGAGGAAATTGAGGTTGATACTGGATTTGTTGATCCAGATCAAAAGAATGGGAAGGGTAAAGTGGGTACAGTTATCAACAGCATTAATTTGGAACCTTCCTTGTTGGGTGATGCTAGTAAAAAAAGGGGTTTAAGGGATGTAAATTCTGATTTGTCTCAGGATTTGAATGGTTCTGGGAAAGGGAGTAAGGTGAGTTCTTATGCAGGGGTGTTAAAAGGGAAGTTCATAAAGGAAAGATGGATGTTAAATACATTCCTCCTATTGATGGGAAAGAAGATGGTCCAGTTGTTATTCCTATAGAATTTGAAGAAGGCTAGTATTCCATATTCTAACACTCTATATGGATATTTGATTGATAAACGTATTTTGTTTCCAGCTGTTCAAAGGAGTTAAAGCGAATGTGGAAGAATGTGGGGTTAGAAGAGATGTTTATGAATAGTAAGGGGTTTTTCTTTTTCAAGTTCAGTGATGAATTTGGATTACAAAACATTTTGGAAGGGAGTCCTTGAATGCTTTTTGATAAGATTCCACTGTTTTTACAAAGATGGAGGCCTGGACTTACTCTCACGAAGAATAAACATAATAAGACTCCTGTTTGGATTAAGATTTATGATCTTCCATTGGAAGTGTGGAGTGGGGAGAATCTATGTATCATTGCTAGTAAGTTGGGTATTCCTTTGGCGTTTGATTCTTTTACTGAGGAGATGTGCCTTGATCATAAAAGGTCGAAATGCTTATGCAAAAATCTTGTTAGGGTGCAAAGTCACTAGGGATGGCAATGGGTACGGGTATACCGGGTTTCATGTTCCCCATCCCCATACCCATACCCGACCCCATCCCCATCGGGGATTAAAAATCCATCCCCATCCCCAATGGGGGAACGGGGATCCCCAGCGGGTAATCGGGGAATTTTCCCCATTACAAGGTTTTGAAAGTTTATGAAAAAATAAGTCATAGATATATATATTAACAAACAAAAAAAAACTTATAGAAATAATATAAAGCACTTCAATCATCGAATGTATTCAAACACGAACAATAACTTTCAAGTTTACAAATCAGACTACTTTTTTGCAACAAAAAAAAAACATAAACATAAAAAGTCATCCAAAAAGTAGTCAAACATCGCCTATCATCCAAACAATAACAATCAAGTTCACCAAATTTCAATTCCAACTTTCGCATCGAACCATCATTTATCATATATTCACCTACCAACAAAAGAAAGACAAAGTATAAACAAATGCATGAAACAAAAAACTTTAATTTAATCGATTATAATCATGAAAAAATGGTTTCATTATTACCATCAAGTTTCACTGTCTGTGTCGTAATCATCAAAAATAGTTGCATGATTATCTGAGGTAAATTGCACACCTTCATCTAAATAGAACAAAAAAGTTAGTAAATTAAAAACAAATATAAATAATAATAAAATAGATGATTACCTTTGTTAACAATTTCCCACAACCAACTTTGTGCGCACATTAGAGCTTCAATTGTGTTTGGTTTAAGTCGACTTCGATGTGGGCTTATCAATCTTCCACTAGTACTAAATGCGGATTCGGAGGCAACGGTAGAGACGGGAATAGCCAATATATATCTAGCTATTGCTTGCAATATAGGATATTTCGTTGCCCTTAACTTCCACCACATCAAAATATTAAAGTCTTGAGATTCAGGCTCAATCCCTTCTTCTAAATAACGATCAAAGTCGGTTTTCAAAACCAATTGAGGAACTCTATTCTTGGCCTTCACATACTTATCCCAAGCCGACAAATTTTCATCACCATCCATTTCATTTGTGGAACCCGACCCCATATAATCACCACTTCTATGTGAATTTTCCATACTGTTTTCTTCGTATTCTTTAACCAAATCATCAGAAAAACTTTTGATTCTACTAACTTGATTCACATAGTCTTTCGGGTAGAGAAGTTGGAAATAAAATTCTATCATTTCCATCTTGTAACGTGGATCAAAAACTGCAGCAACACCTATCAACTCATGAATAGTACCCCAATAATGATTGAACTTTGCAATCATTTGCGTTGCCATTTTTTGCACGATTATATTAGAACAAGAATTCCATTTAGATAATTCAAGTCTAATCTCACATATTTTAGGAAAATATAAGTTGGTTGTGGGGTACTTTGTTCCAGAAAGATCGTGGTGACATTATAAAATAATTCCAATCTCCCACATATTTCTTGTGTGTTCTCCTAATCTAATGAACTGGGCAATGTTTTGTATTGACTATCACGTTGTTTTAAACGCCCAAAGACCACTTTATACATTAATGCCACTTTCAACATCAAGTAAGTTGAATTCCATCTTGTGGGGCAATCTAAACCTAACTTCTTGGAGTAAGGTATTTTGAGTTGTCGACATGAGCTCTCAAATGTATCAACCCTTTTGGGGGTTGCTGTCCAATAAGCTACACTTTCACATACATTTTCAATTGATCCTTTAATGACCTCTAACCCAATTTTGACAACAAGATTAAGAATATGAGCCGCACATCTCATGTGAATGTGTGTGCCATCATGTATCAACTTATTTATTTGCAACTTTTCTTTAATCTTACCGATTAATGCATCATTCGTAGTACAATTGTCCACTGTGATAGTAGACAATTTGGTGTCCACATTCCACTCCATCAATGCATCGATCAAAACATCTGTGAGAACTTCACTTGTGTGTGGGCAAGGCACATAAACAAACCTGTCAAACATAATAATCATAAAGTTAAAAATGGTCATATAACATACAACAAAAAAAAAAACTTGATAAGAAGCAGTACCTTAATATTTTACTTTGAAGACACCAATCATGAATATAATGACCTGTGATAGCCATGAACCCTTTTTTTTGATTGGTCGAAGTCCACATATCAGTTGTAATGGCAATTCTACCTTGCAAATTTTCAATCTTTTGGATAACCTTACTTTTTTCCATCGCATACACATTTTTAATGTCACTTTTTAATGTATTCCGACAAGGGCATTTGAATAAAGGTTGAATGGTCCTTGTAAAATTCTTAAAACCAACATGATCAACAATAGAAAGAGGATACTCGTGTAATATAACCATTTAGCCAATGCATTTCTACTATCATTCTCATTGTAGACATATGTAGACAAATCGGTTTTCGAGTTCGATACCAAAAGTTTTTGGCAAATATCGGTTTGGCCCTTAGCTATGCATTTGTACCTATGTACTAACAAATGTTCGATGCCATTTTTTGGATCTGCTCCTAGTAATGCGTTACAAGTTTTACATTGTGCCTTCAGTTTCCCATTAACAGTAACTTTAACAAATTGATCCCAAGCAATGCTTTTTTGTCTTTTGTTTGGAGGATTTACCGCATCTGATTGAAGTGATTCTTCAAAGGAAGGAACATTTGGACTTGTATTATCATGTTCAACATCAACATTTGTAGAACCAATTGGTGTTGAAGGTTGTTCACTCACTGAGTCAATCTTTTCCATTTTCTGCCCAAAACAAATTAATCACACGAGATTTCAGCATATAAACATTCATCACAATAGATATTCAGTTTCAATCATACACAAATACACAATAGATATTCGCAATAGACAACAATTAATCTCCACTGATACATATACATTCATACACAATTGACTGAACATGGGGAGGATGCAAAATCATCAATCGGACTCAAAAGTTAAAAATCGAACGGACAAACCTGATTGAACGTCAATGTACTCAATTGACCGCCGATTATCCGTCGTTTGATGGTGATGCTGGAGTAGTGGTATAACACAACGTCGATGGAGAATGAAGATGGTTGCCTCCTTGTCGGACGCCGGTTAGAACTTGGAAGTCGAAATGTAAATTCGCAGTCTCGCAGATGAAGCAAGGCAGGAGCGAGGGCAAACAACGTCACAATAGGAGCGGGAGCAGAACTCAATGAAGACTTGAAGAGACGATGAGTTGATTCAGGAATAAAAAAAACCCTATTGAGTATTGACTGTTTGACTTAGTTTCACAATGAGGTGAATCGACAAGAATTTTGAATTGATTAAAAATATAACGTAATTGAATTTACACTTGATAGAATTTTTGGTTTTTGCCATCCCTAGTTTTAGTGGCATATTTCTTATGCCACTATAAGATTTTTGGTTTTTGCAGCCCTTTTTAATGCCACTATATAATTGTTAAAATAAAGGTAATATTTTTAGTTTTTAGTTTCATTTTTTTCATCACAAAGCATTTAATATTTGAAAATTTGGTATTTTTGTTTATAGATTTAAATGGAATATAAAATAAAAAAATAAATAATAATAGAATAATAAATGGAAAACACAAAAGAATTGCTTATATTAAAATTTAACTTGTCTTACAACAATATTACCAATACTTCAAACAAAAATATCTTTCAAAATGTTGAATAAGGAAAATCTTTTATGCAGCAAGAAGATACTTCTCTTCCTCAGCCTTTCTACCCATCAGAACCCAAGATCATTTCCTAATTTTGCCGCATTTTCAAATTGTTCTCTTTCTAATTGATTGGATTAGGGTTGGAGAAGTTACATAGGATTGAGAATGTTTTGTGTAGAATGAGATCTCAAAATCAAAGACTTCGATAATTTCACAGAACTTGAAACAAAGAAAGATGGTATTAGAGCTACAAGTACAAGAAATTAATCGTTTAGACTAGATAACCATAAAGATAAGGAGAAAATTAGAGCTAAAAGTACAAAAATGCCCTTAATCTCTCTTTTTATACATCAGAGCAAAAAACATCATTTAAAAAAGAAAAGACATGTTACAAATTAAGGTTGACCAGATTGTTGACTGCAAAACTAAAAACTAAAATATATTTATTTTGATAAATTAAGGTTATCTGTGAACGATGTCTACTTAAAATGGAAAAAATATAATGCAATGATACAATTCATGTAGCCTCATATGCACTAGAAAACCACCTGGTAAAAAGGAAAAAAGGAAATGCTAAATACAAACATATACAAGAAAAAACATTGCAAGTTACAATAATAATAGTAGTAAGGGTAGACCTTTTTGAAATGGACAGAATTGCCCCAACATCAAAACCTTCAGCTGTGTCAGCCTCAATTACACAAAGCTCACCAGAGATAGCTCCTTTGATCTTCCACCATGCAAGAATTGATGCTAACACAACTATCTAACACAATCCCTTTCTTGAACACGCCCTTTTGTTGCCCCACTCCTTCCCTTTCTTATCAAACCTTCTAGATGGCAAACCAACTGTCTTCAAACACCCACAAACAAAACACCATTCTTAGATTCATTAACACATCAATATCAAGATTCCGAACTAAAAAAACAAAGAATAGTGTATACCAACTCCATGCAATATCCTTGAAACTGAGCATCTTCAATCTTTTGTATATTTGACATCTGAAGAGTGAAAGTTATAATCAATATGAGATATAATACACATTATGAGAATATAGTAAATATTACCTTATCAGAGGGATGTGTGCTTTAAAAAGTTTTTCAAAAATATCATTTAAAAGCCAAGACCCGTTACATATTAAGAGAATGTTGACTGCAAACTTAAAAACTAAAATATATGTATTCAAGGACAACGACATGGTGAACGCTATATTGATCTTTCAATATTTTTGAACAAAATAAACAACAAGTTGATTATCTTTTCAAAATGAAGTTTGAGCGTTTTAAAATACAACCCTGGTTCAGATCAGATAAACCTTGAAATCAATTTATTCTTGAACATATAGATAAATTCCCTTAACCAAATCCCTACACATTTCAATAACAACAAAATGTGGAAGGTGTAAGAAAGAGGGGAAATGTGCATACTATATGAATTATGATTTATGAAGAGCAAAAAAAGGCAATTACAATCCATGGGGGAATAACGAAAACCCTAAATCCGCTTATGAGAATCTGGAGACGAGATGGAAGAGTGATTGAAGGAGAGTGAAATGAGTGAAGAATGCAAACCTGACTAGGGATTGTGTTCTTCATGGGGAAATAACGAAAACCCTAAATCTGCTCCAATTAGAAATAAATATGATTTGATATGCGATACATCTGATCCGATGTGTCATACATACCCGATTAACCTCCGAAATCTAGCGTATTGATAGTAGAAAACAAAACCTTCGTATTAGGAAGAATATCAAATATTTCTGCTTGATCCATATAAGAACAAGGCAGAGATATGGCTAGGAGAGCTAGCGGCGGTACAGTGTTGTTGGTGAGGAGGATAGACGATGGTGCTCCATTAATCATTGTGGGGAGGAGAAGAGTGGTGGAGATGTGGCTTGGAGAACTGGCGGTGAACCAGTGACGATGAAAAGAGACGTGATTTATTCCTTTATTCCGATTTCATTTCTCAAAAAAAGAGCGGAAGGTCTTCGACTGTCGAGGGTAAAATTAGAATTTTCCATAGATAGTGGCACATATAATATGTATGCCACTAAAAAGATAATATAGTGGCCCAAAAATTAATATGTCACTAAATGTAATTTTATTTGTAGGGCATGAAATCTTTTTTTTTTTTTTTTTTTTTTTTATATCTTAATGAAACATTCTAGACCTAAGACGTTTCTTACCAATAGATTCGATTTTTATTTTTTCTTGAGATTTCTATGCTTATCCTAGTCACTCAAAATAATTCCAAAGCATACTTGTTTTTATGGCTACACCGGTCAGATAAGTACTTCATCCGAACGTTCTTACTTATATCAAGTTTCGTAGTTTGGTTGAAGATAAATCCACCCTTAAAGCTTAGTGAAAAGATGCCTTTCACTCTTTCTCAACAAACATGTTATCATAATTCATGGGAAACCACACAGACACTTTAGAGTCTCTTAACTCCGAAGGAAGAGATCCTTGCTCGGGATCCATCTGCTTCATGTCTTAAGAGACATCACTAGAATCCCTTAGTATTGTGTTGATTTATTTCTTTATCTTTGGCACACTCTCGCACAAAGATCCTTGTGATTTTCCAAATTCTGGTTCATGGTACTTAAGTCATATTTACTTTCTGTAACATCCCGGAATCGCAAGAGTAAGTTTTAGAGGGCGACTCGGCGAGTCACATGGATGGACTCGGCGAGTCAGGTCGCAACTTTGGTCGCGTGTTAAATGGCCTACTCGGCAAGTCCAAAGATGGACTCGGCGAGTAGGTGCTGGGCGAAGAAAAACCCTATATCCGGGAATGAGCCCTATATAAAGATCATTATGTTCCTCCACAGCCTCCTTGATCCCCCCTTGAGTCCCAGAAACCCTAATTTCGTGGAGGAACCCCTTTGTTGAAATTGGAGCTTGGAGAGGTGCTTGTTGAAAATATCTTGAAGGAGAAGAGGCTTGGATCAAAGGGCTTTGCTTGGATTCGAGTTTCATTGTTGTTGAGGCATTCTTTGGAGGTAATACTTTCGTTCTTGGGCTGTGTTCTCCTAGATTCTCATTTTGGGGTTGTGTGGGAAGCTTAGTTGTGGACATCTTGAGTTTGAAGGATGGATCTGAGGTTGCTACCTCAGATCTGGAGTGGAGAAGATCTTAAGAGCATTAAAGCCCCTGTTCTTGTGTTGTTAATGGAGCTATCATGTCCCAAACCTTAGTTCTAAGGTGAATAAGGCCTAGATCTCTTTGGATTCACGTAAAGTTTGCCACTTTACGTGATGGATGGATTGTAGGAGGTTGGATCTATGTTTTGGATCAATTGCATGGGCTGAGATGCTTCTGTATGGATTCAGACGGTGGTACTCGACGAGTCACATGGGTGGACTCGACGAGTTGCTTGAAGATAGCCTGGAACTCGACGAGTTGGAAGAACAACTCGGCGAGTAGGTTGAAGATAGCCTTAGACTCGGCGAGTGTCTTCTTGGACTCGGCGAGTCTTGTCAAAGAGTCCCAATATTTCCTGGTCGAGTCGAGAATCGGTGAGTCAAGGGATGACTCGGTGAGTTGGGTGCGAGTGGACTCAGAGTTGTTGGACTCGACGAGTCTTGGGGTGACTCGGCGAGTTGGGTTGCTAAAGGAGGGAAGTTCTGAGCATAAGGACTCGGCGAGTCATCAGGTTGACTCGGCGAGTAGGGTCAGTTAGGGGTTGACTTTGACTTGTCCAGGGTTGACCAGTTGTCTTCCAGGGGTATTTTGGTAATTAAGGGTATTTATTGAGTTGAATGTTTTGATGTTCAGTGGAGGAATTCGTGTTAGAGTTCGGAGCAACGAGATCTTATCCTTTCAGCCGGCAGTTTCGAGGTGAGTTTTTTCACATCATAACAGGGTCTATAGGCACCAAGCCGGCCCTTTATTGGATTGAGATTCGGATTGGTTATTTATGTGATTGTTTGATATGTGTCTGCATCCTGGTAGCTAGGATGGTACATGCTAGGAGACTCTGGTTAAGGTCAGTTTCCCGATATATCGAGTTGATGCTATGCTAGTGACCGGATAGGTCGGTAACCTGTTTTGGGTAATGATATGCTATGTTGATCTGCTTGCTCGGTTTGTTGACTATGACTGTTATATGATTGTATGTTTTGTGCACATGGTTGTTTGGATTGGAGATGGGTTGAGGCGGGTCCTGCTTTATTGCTGTAGGCCAAGATACCCAGGGCGGACCGGTTATTCCCGAAGGCCCAACGAGCGGTCCGGATAGGCTGTAGGCCCCTACGAGGGCAGACCAGACGTGCCGAGGCTCGAGAGTGGACCAGGCCGACTGAAGGCCCGATGGTGGCGGACCAATCACACTGTAGACTCA